CTCCTATTAACTATCTGGTCTTGAGCATGCTATTTAATATGTGCTACCATTTTTCTATCTGTGAAAGGGAATAAGAAACATAAAAACAGACTGGTCTATTTGGGTGGTTGTAACAAAATGCCTTTGACTGAATAGCTCATATACACAAAAAGTGTACTTCTCACCATTTTGAAAAGCTAGAAATTCCAGGCAAAGACAGACACCATCACTGATTCTGGCCTATATCACCTTCTGACTGTATTCTCAAGTGATTAAAAGAGCTAGAAAATACACTAGGGTCCCATGTACAGGGTACTAATATCAATAATTAGAACACCCAACTCAGGAACGAACCTGCTGGTACCCTCACATGGGTGATTAAGTTTTAATATATGAACCAGGGGCTTCACTATAAGCATTCCTAGAAAATTCCTAGAAGAATCCTAGAAGATTAGAAGAGTATTACTACACTTTTCAAAGGTATTGACAGGTATGAAATGCTTACACCAAGCCCTGGAACATATTCAGCAACATGTAAGTACTCACTAAACAAAAGAAAGTGAATATGCTAAGCACACATGATAGGTTGGCAATAATCACTTTGTCATATTTGGACTTCATCCTAGAAATATTGGTAGACCTTGGAGGTGTTACCAGGGAAGTAACAGGGTCATAGGGGCTGGAAAAACAAACGTTCAAGATAGCAACATTACAAGGTGAGCAAGAAGCACCTGACCACGCAGCAACATGAACTGCTATGACCGAACTCCTGAAGAAAAAGATCGAGCATCAATTACAAAATAAATAACCAGGCTCAAAATGAATGCACCATATAGCCTCATCTTTTCCACAGCTAAGAAATCACCAGCTCTAAGCCCAACACTGAGAGAAAAAGACTGAGGTGCTAGGCCAGCCTGAAAAGTGAAACTGTCCTCAGAATAGACAGGCAATTCCTGCGTAGGTGCAGTGAAGAATTTTGTGACATTTGATCTCAGATCCATCTCCATTGTGATGCTCCAAGCTGGGAGAATAACCTACAAAGTGGCTATTTGGGAAATCTAACCACATTGCCAGAGGCCTTGATTATTTGATGATTGTTTCAAATATTAAGAATTTCAACAAGAAACCCAATTGAGAAGGTTCCAGATTTGTAACACGCTGTCCGAAATTCCAGTTGCCACATGGTAGTCTGTACAGGAGACTTCCGAGGCTCAGTCATTTGGCTGTATCCTTGCATCCAGCATAGCTACAATATGAACACTTTCTTGAGGAGTCCCTGAGGAGAAGGAAACCTATACCATCTATAGATTTCCAAAACTGTTAGCTTTAGTAGCTACATTAGGTCTTAGGGATCCTAAAATCATTAGAGAAACCTATCCTGACAACATATTGTCTGGAGACCAAAGAATGTCCACAGGACACCATGAACACACACTGTCTCATGGCCCTCAAAACCAGAAAATATGTCTAACCAGCTACAGTAAGACACCGTACTTTTCCCATGCTTATGTTCAAACTTAACCATCATTACTTCCTGTAAGACTTGGCCACAAAAATGTCCTTGAGTTTCTCTTTTCCAACACAGGACTCAAAGCAAGGTCTACTTAATAAGTCTCTGGAGAAAATAAGGCTATACTAAATTGTGCCAAATATGCAGGTAAGAAGTCAATTAACATAGCTGCAATTACCTTCTCAGAAGCTTCAGGACAATGAATTTCAACCCGTTTTACACTGTCCCAAATTCTGAAAACAAACAGTGTTAATACACTTTAATTTTAAAAGTGCCACAAAACAGTTGGAAGAGAGAAGGGATCTGGTGTTCACAGTTCCAAACAGGATCCGAGTCACGGCCCAGGAAGGGATCATTTTGGTCTGGTCCTGTTTCTTCAGGGTCACAAGTAACTCAGAAAAAGACACACAGATAGGGAACTCTGCCAAGATACACAGGGAGGGAGTCGGAGACCTGGACTTCTAGGAAAGCACATGGGAGCTCTGAGCTAAACTGTGTCTAAAAAATCCTCCAAGTTTTCTATAGCTTGTTAATTAAGTAAACTTGATATTCTTCCTACAAAAAGATAAACCCAACAGGGATGTGGTTCTCTAGCATATGTTAATCTGTCTCTGTCTCTTGTTTCTCTACAGCAGTTCATATTTAAGAATGAAACCGCTTCTACTTTTTTCTTTTCTCATATGTTATATCCAACCGCAGTTCCCATTCCCTTCCCTCTCACCGGTCTCTTCCCTCCACCTGCTCTCTCCCCCATATCCATACCCGACATCCTCCCCTCAGAAAAGAGCAGGCTTCCCAGGGACATCAACCAAATACTGCATAACAAGCCACAATGAGACCAGGTCCATACCATCACATCAAGGCTGGACAAGGCAACAGTCAGGGACAATCCTTACCCCTCACCTCCCACACCCCAATTCCCACCCACCCCCGCCCCTCCTTGGTTCCCAATGTTATAATTCCTGCAAGAACATAAGGCTACTTAACCATACTATATATGCAGAGGACCTAGGTCAAAACCCTACAAGTTCCCTGATCTCTGTAGGCCCGGTTCTCCTGGTATCCCTGACCTTTCTGGTTCCTCTGATCCTTTCTCTCCCCCTCAGCTTAAGTCCCTGAGCTCTGCCTAAAGTTTGGATGTGGGACTCAGCTGCTCCCATCAGTTGCTGGATGAAGTCTCTCTGGCCTCTTTGACAGACAATTCTGCTAGGCTCAGATCCCAGAACACTCTGCAGGCAGGATAAACTGTAGGTCGAAGGTTTTGTGGCTGGGTTCATGTCTCAATCCCTCCACTTGAGGCCTTGCTTGGTTACAGAAGATGACCAGTTCAGGCTACCTGCCCCGCACTACTAGGAGTCTTTGCCAGGGTTACTCCCTGGAGTTTTCCATTGTCCTCACGAGTTTTCTACTTCTCTTTACTACAAAGACAGCTGTGCGCACGCTGCATTCAGGGGCATGAACCCCAGGCAAGTCCTGTGAAAGGTACTATGCAGAACATTCTGTTGTATTGAATCCTTAATAAAGTCAATCTATTTGGTGTGGTGGTATATGTCTTTTTATTCCTCTTCTTTTTAAAATAGTACAATATGTGATTAACTCTGAGGATTTTATAGAACTGTTCCCAGTCCTCCCAGATCCGTCCCTCCTCCCTATATATCCTACTTTTTGTTCTTTTCTTTTGGTTTTTGAGACTATCGGAGACTATTTAGCCGCTGATACCCTCCTAGTCCTAAGATCTTTCTGCTCTCTCTTCTATGATGTTCCCTGAGCCTTAAGTGTAAGATTTGTATTGTAAATGCATTGATTGGAGGTAGGTACCCCATAGTCATTTAATCTCTGCATTTTGACCAGTTGTGGCTTTTATAACAGTCTTCTTTTCTAAAATGAATCTTCTTTGATGAAGGCTTAGAGCAACACTCACGTATAAGGATAAGTATTTGGAATCCATTTAGAGATTATGCTGGTTTAGGTAAGTCCTCCTCTGGTTTCCATGGCCTAACCAGACACTGGTAAACTTAAAGGTTGTGTGTCATTTACCCAGGAACTGAATGATCAAGGTGGAATAGAAACCTGGTTGGGATTAAATCATTTCTACAACAAGGCTCTAAAAGCAATGTATTGTTTTTGAGTTTTTTTGTAACTCTCCCACCTGTAACTAAAAGGTTTCCCATGCCTGGCATTGACATTATTGGTAGACACTATGGTTTTGGTAGAGAGCATTGTTACCTAAATTGAAATAATGTGTGTGTGCATATATATACACATATATATATATACATATATATATACATATATATATATGTGTGTGTATTGTTACATATTTATATATTTCACATATTATATATAACTTTATTATACTATATTCAATTTTATATATTATATATTATAACTCTATTATAATATTTATATATAACATATAAAATTATATATCTACATATAAATAATTTCAATTGAGGTGACAATGCTCTCTACCAAAACCATAGAGTATCCAAGAAAAATATCACTGCCAGGCATGAGAAACCTTTATAAAATAATATATATATATACATATATATATATGTATATATATATATGTATATATTAAAGTAACGATAAAGTAATGATTCTCTATATCTTTAATCTCAACACCCCAAGAGGCAGAAGCAGACAGATCTGTGTGAGTTTGAGAACAGCATGGTCTACATGGTGAGTTCTAGACCAGTCAGGACTACATAGTGAGACCCTATCTCAAGCAATCAATCAATTGATTAACCTCACTGCTTTTCATTTGCCAAGGTACAACCAAGACCACTGACATGGAGAACAACTTATGCTTTTTGATTACAGATTATCATTTTTGATCAGGCTAAGAATAGTTTTTCCTAGAAACCTGGGTTGTTGATTCTACTATTTTGTAGAAGCTGCACAGATTGATTCTTATTGACAAAACAGCCTAGCCTGATAACTACACTGGCACAATCATTCACATGGTAATATTGTTTTTAATTTAAAAGTCAACAGCCTTGCTTTCTGTTATTTCTCGGAAATCAAAGGGGAGATAGTTGAGGACAGACAGCTCCCCCAGTGCCCAGCTTATTTTCAAATGTTCTGGATATGCAAATATTGACCTTGAACGTTTCAAAGAATCCTCACATTTTACATAGAATTTTACAGCAATAAATCAGTACGTGTAGCCCCAATTACATATATTGATCTATTTGAGAGTTAGTGTACAAATGCAGTTGAAATATGATGTGTAAACAGGATGGACTAATTAAAATTTAATCCTAGAATGGTGAGCAGACAAGAATAGCCAGCAAGGTACAGTAAGTAGTTTGTTTTAACCAGGATTTCAATAAGTTCAGGGAATCATATCAATCTAGGACCCAAAGCGATACTAAGTCACTGGAGACCTGGCTGATCCAAGCTCTTCATAGATATATTGGATAGAAAGTCAGCCTAAAGCCCTGAGTCCCCATGAAGAAAAATGTGTTCCCAATATTCCAGTCACTACCCTTTCTCTGCAACCTACCTTCAGGGCATGTACAGTCAGCTACTGGACACAGTTTGTTAGTTCATTGAAAGATATGTGGATGTGGATGTGCATATGTACCAAGAGCAATGGCCAGCAGTTCTGTCCTCTGTCCATGTAGCATAGTGACCACAGCAAAGCTCTTCAAGGAGAAGAGTCGCTCCAGAGAAACATGGCTTCTTCTACAAGGAAGGAGAAGAAGATAAAAAGTTCTATAACAATCAGCACAGTATCTTCTGGAGAAGAATGCTATACTAAGCACATTTCCAGCTTCCACTAGAGATGAGACAAGAAATAGCCAAGGGGGACACTGGTGGCTTAGTTGTCTCATGGGACTCACTTATCTGTCTGGCTGAAGTGAGTCACTCACCTCCATATCCCAATGATATCTACTCATTTAGCTGAAGAGGGTGGAGTATTCAAAGTGCTAAACATTTTAACTACCATTGTGATTATGATGATAATGGTATAACGGTGCTGTGTTTCTGAGGACATGGAATTCACACTGTTTGTGTCAGTTCAAATCATCTTTCTTACTTCTTGGACAGATTCTTTAACCATTCTTTGACCCAATCGTCTCATCCTATAAAATGGGAATGAAAGATCGAACTTCTACCTTCGATGATGTGATCATCTTTGTAGATAATGATCATATATATATGTTGTGAACAAAGGAGAATTTTCTTGTCTTTGTTTTGCCAGTAACATCCTAGTAAGAGCCTTTTTTGAATAAGGGCATGTATGAACTCTCCAGGACGCCTGCTCCAACAAGCCCAGAAAACTCACCCACAGAGCTGGATCCAGCTCCATGGAAAAGAATTTCTCTGAACTTGGCTCTTCCTCTACAGACTCCTTACATGGTTATACTTTCCATCCCAGACATATTTCACACAAACTACTCAGAGGAATTGAACAATATCTCTGGCCTGATCTGAGACATGCAGCCATCTGGAGAACATAACATTTAATATTTGCTCCTGGTTGCATCACACTTAACCACAAAACCCCATCCAAGCTGAGAAGCCCTCCACCACTTTCTTTCCCCATGGATTTAAATTCATAGGCCCAAAGTCAGTGACCTTTTAAAGGTTACAGAAGGCAATCCATTCTCTCTCCAGCCAATTCTGGGCTATTTCCCTAACGAGAGAATTAAACTATGGAGAGGACAACATTGAAATAATGCCAAACTACCCAAGGCAAATCATTTCTGCATTGTTCTAGATTGTATGGTATATGTTTTCCTGGGAGAAAATTTATCTGCTTAATTAGATTTTATTTAGGCGACTATTGAAACTAATTTTCATTCCCCAAGTATAGTTCTTTCGATAATACCGACAGGTGACCTGAGATTAAATTTTTGCACTGAATGAACTGCAGAAGGATCACTCCTGTGGATAACAGGATGTCTTTGCTTTGGACCCACAGATTTCAAAGCTCTAGTTCAGAAATGGCACTCCGGGTCCTGCTGAACAATCAACAGTCTATCAAATGTTGCTTTCCTGCCTGCACATGTGGTCTTAATTCAAGTCTTGATGACATTCCCAAACTTTCCATCCCCACTGGGCTCTTCTAGGAATCCTTCCACATGAGATGCAGTCATTACACAGCTCTCTGCCACCTTGGCTCAAACCAAGTCTCAAGTGCCTCAAAGTGGTTTATTATTGCTAAGACGGTTTCCAGCTAAAGGATGGCTGAACCTCTTTAGTCTGTAGGCTTGGATCCCTGCTGTGGCTTAACTTTGCCTGTGAGATGCAGGGTGGTGAATGTTCTGAATCAACACAAGGCAACCAGACACTTGGGGGGAAAGGCAGTTATGAAACAAACTCAATAAATATTCGCAAGCAATTGTGGTCTCTCTTTAGTTTAGACAGGGAATACAAACAGATCAGCAGTACAGTTAACTCTCTAACCACGGGATGGAATTTCTCATAATTTCCACTTGGGACCAGCTCTCAGCCTGCTACTGTCATAAGCTCAGGCCCTCAAGAACGTTGCCTCAGGCAGGAGGGTGACAGGGAGGTCCTCATCCACTCAGTTTGTGTCCTGGTTACTGTCTCAGTCTCTGATTTGGTAAACCGTTCTAGACCAGCTAAATAGCAAAGTTGACCTGCATTTGGTAAGTTGGATAAAATTATTTAATCAAAACCCTCTAATTATTTAATCAACATTCTCTAACATAGATGAAAATAAAACAACCATTATATGTAACTGAGTGTATAGTCAGATACCACATGATAATAAATTCAACAGTATAACTGTCACCAAGCAATTTGGCCCAAAGTGTCCTAAGTGATTTTATTTAAGGAATAAGTTAGGAGAAAATATCAGGACACTAGTGCAGACAGCAGTATGAGATGAATAAAATAGTACTCAAATGGAATTATTATTATTAACTATTTAGGATCAGTATGACCCTGAGAAAACATTTTGAACTCTAACCCTCAGTTTTCTCCCAAATCAGATTATTATGGAATTGTTTTAGTGTAGCCTAGAAGAGTAGAATGGACCCGGAGTGCCATTTCTTGAGCTAGAGCTTTGAAATCTGTGGGTCCAAAGCAAAGACATCCTGTTATCCACAGGAGTGATCCTTCTGTAGCTCATTCAGTGTGAAAATTTAATCTCAGGTCACCTGTCAGTACTATTCTCAAATTCCAAAGTGAAATAGCCAACAACTAGAACCAGACTTGTAAAGTGGGTGTTCCAGACTGTTCCATGGCCCTTGTCTCCTCACCTGTCCACAAGCATGAAAGATGGACTAGTACTATGTTAATTAATATTATATTACATTAAATGGTGGCATACTGAAAACATTTCCTTGAAAGTGAGGAATGAGACAAGGCTGTCCCCTCTCCCCTCTCTTATCTCTGTCCCGATGTAGTGTTTGAAGTCTTGGCTGTAGCTATCAGAGAAGAGAGACATAAAAGAAATAGCAGTAGTAAAATAGTCAAACAATTCCTATCTACTGACATTGTGAGTCTTTGCTCAAAAGATCCTCTCGAGTTTACTAGAAAACTTTCAGATATTTGCAGTAAATATAATAAACATTTACAGTAAAGTTGCAGGATATAAAGTCAAAAAAATTTTTAATAGTCCATTCTCTGAGCAATAAATTAGGAAAATCACTCTATTCAAAATAACTTGTCCCAAAACCAAGTGTCTAGGAACATACGTAACTAAAGAAGTGAAAGACAACTACAATGAAAATTTCAAGATACTGACAAAGGAAGTCACAGAAGATACTACACAAAGGAGACATGGTCCTAAATAGGCAGAATTAATATTGTGAAAATGTTGATACTACTAAAATCAATATAAAGAAGTAATAGAGTACTTGTCAAAAATTTTATGTCATATTCAAAGGATTAGAAAAAACCAATACAAGTATTCATGTAAAGTGACAAAAGACCATGAATAGCCAAAGAAGTATTAAGGAGAAAGAACAATATTGGAGGTATTACAATAACTAACCTCAAATCATACTATAGTGCAATTGCAAAAAAGATAGCTATTATGATAAAGGCATAAAAATAGACAGATTGGTCAATGGAATATAATAGAGGACAAGGAAAGATAATGATAAACTCTTGCTCACTTAACTTTTGACAAAGAAACAAAGAAAATACTTTGAGAAAAAGTTAGCTTATCCAAACTGGGTTTCTACCTGCAAAAGAATAAACTTAGATTTACATCTCTCATCTTATAAAAGAGTCACTTCAAAATGAATCAAAGACCTCAGTTTAAAAGCAGAAACACAAAACACTAGAAAAAAAAAGTAGGGGATGCCCCTAATAATATCGGGGTACCAAGAGCTTTTAAAAAAAAATAGCAACATCACAGAACTAATTCAAAGCATCAGCGTATGGTGAAAATAAAATGTCGGTTTTCAGCAAAGGAAGGTAAAAGCAGAGCAAGCATACTGCCCGAAGAGCAGGAGAAAATCTTTACCAGCCATACCTGAGACAAAGGGATAATAGCCAGAAATTAGGAAGAATTGCAGAAATCAAATTCCAAGGAAATAAAACTGCCAATCAACAAATGGGCAGATTAAGGCAAGACAATTGTTTTAAAATACAAATCACCAATAACTGTTTTGAAAGGCACTCAATATGTCTAGCCATCAGGGAAATGAAAATTAAAACTACTTTAAGACAACACCCCAGGCCAGTCAGTATGCTATCACCAACAAATCTGACAACAAATGTTGGAGTGAGTGCGGAGATAAGGAGCCCTTATTCACTTTCGGTGAGGCTACAAACTAGTACAGCCATTGAGGAAATCAATTAGTCGGTTACTTGTAGCAGTGAGTTTAGCTACACCACTTTGGCTTCGAACTCATACATGGCTGGTTGGCTTTCTCTCCTGCAGCTCTTATGTCCCATCCTTCTCCCCTGAGTCATGTGATTCTCCCTTTCCTTCCTTGCTCTGAGTCCTATCCCTCAAAAATCTAAAGGTCCTGCCTCAGTCTACCTGCCCAGCCATTGGCTCTTTATTGATCAATCAAAAAGCAATTGGGAACAAGGACCTTTAGCATTTGGACATGCGGATTCCCAATTAGAGGGGCTGGATTAATTCAAAGTGTTAGAACCAATCCCCAACAGTTAATGAAAAAATTAAAAATAGAACTACTATTTGCCCCAGCTATTTCTCTTGGCCAAATACCCAGAGAACTCCCTATGCTTACATAGAGATATTTACCATCCCCATGTTAATCATTTCTCTACATAAAGAATCGCAATCAATATTGTTGTTCATCAAGGAAGAATTAATAACAAAAATTACTCATCTCTAAAGAAAAATGAAGTTTAGAAAAATTTAGAAAAAATGAAAAGACTTAGACTGTATATAATTATGCGGTATCACATAACCTCAGAAAAAAAAGTATATTGTCTCTAATATGTAAAGACCTAGCTGAGAATGTATTACACAGAAGTACATGTATGTACAGTATACACAAAGAAAAGAGAACAAGAAAGGCTAACTATAAGGGGACAGAAAAGAACTGAGTGCAGGCAATGGACATGTGTTATGAAAGATGAGATAAAGTTAATTACTTTTTTAGTTCTAACCATCATGGATTTTTTGGTTTTGATGGAGGATAAATTTATATAGTATATTTGATACTGAAAGTGTAAAATTTATTGTAAAGCTCCATAGCTTGCATTCATTTGCAAGTTTTTTAATA